TATCACAGTCATAGTCCTAATCTCTGTGCATCCCAGTCTAGTGGAATGGGTCCTGCTGCTGGATAATCCAAAGTCTGTGGTCTGGTGGGGTATCTCACCTAGGTAGTTGCCAGTTAGATTAAGCCTTGAATACTAATTTTACAGTTCGAGTTTTCTGTTTTTAAGGTAATGTCAAGCCACTGAATTTTTTTTAAGCAGAGAAACAACTTATGCAGAGTTGTGGTTTACTTAGCAGAATTATGGAATATTGGAGGGGCAACAACTGAACATGAGAGTTATCTGGAGTGTTTTGGAAAATCCCAGTACTCAGGCTGCACCTCATTGAATTTGAGTCTCAGAGGGTGAGATGCAGACACCAGTACTTTTTAAAGTCTCTCAGGTGATTTCAATGCACAGTTAAGGTTCAGAACCATAGAAATAGAGGCGGTTAGCACAGGGAACAAGTTAGCATGCAGTTGTGTAATCTGTGTAAAAGACAATTAAAATCTGTAGGGTAGTAGCAGCAGAGTAGAAAATACTTCCCTTCTGGATTTTACTTCCTAGAATTCTAGAATCTGTACTCTCCATATTTGGGTTACTGTATTTGTGTGGAGAGAAAAAAAAATATGTTTTATACACTTACTATGTGCCCCTACCTGGGCTTGACATCTCACACACTTTCTCATTTAATCCTCTCCACAATACTGTGAGGTAGATATTACTCTGATTTTAGAAATGAAGAAACTGAGGGTCTGAAGGGTTAATAATTTTCCTAAGATCGCATAGCTAGCCAGGAGGTTGTGGTAGGATTTAATCGATACTCTCATTCTGTTATTCTTGTCATCGAATGCAAAGGCTAGTGTTTTTGTGTTATAATCTCACCTATATTACACCTAGCCTTTCAAACATCTTTTAAAGTTTTTACGTGCATTATCTAATATAATGTATGCTTTTAAAACTATTTGGTACATGATCTTTTTTTTTACCCAAAGCTTTCTTCTTGTAACTAATTTTGACTTTTCTATCTGAGATGAATGTTTTGGCATTTAGGCAGCATGTACTGGTAGTTGCTGAGACATCAAGAGCAGTAGCTAACTGCCTTTTTATGTGAGGTGGATAGATATTATGAGTCATGGATGTTGACGTTTCCATATTATTATTAGCAGTCTTATCTATGGCTTCATACTGAACAACATGAAATACTAGTTAGTGATTTGTTAGAAGTAGAACTCTGGAAGCAAAGAAGGTAGTTGTGTAGTCCAAAGGCCAAGATCATGGGTGTAATTATTTTAGTGGACAGTTAACTTTTTTCTTGTTTCATAACCATAGACTTCACTAACAGTCTCATCAGCTACATGACGTTAGTTACAACTGACATATTGATTGATTTTGAACTTTGTACTTGTATGTGAAGACCTTGATGAAGGAGGTTGGTTTAATCATGACAAGAGACCACCAGTACCAGAAGAAATATGACTTACGCTTCACTACCAGAAACTGGTGGTGAGTCTGTAACGATGTTATTTATGAAGGATAGAATTATTTAAGAAAAAGGATAGGGGAATTCCTAACAATGGAATTTGGGCATATGATGGCCAAAGACTAAAAGTGGAAGAAAATATGAATATGCTTTAAGTTACAACTAAGGATATTCTTAGGGTTGAGGTAATTTTCTATGTTGAATTGTTAGTATAACAGAATTTTAGGACTGTAATAGATCTCATGAGCAAATAAGAAAACTAAATTCAAGGTATTTATTCAAGCTTATATTAATTCAAGTTATAGTTTGTGTATCTATATTAAGCACACAGAATGTTAAGTTTTGGAAAATACAAAGATGAGCAAGACTTGTTTTTTGCCATAAGAGAGTTTAAACTAATTCATTTAATTTAGAGGAACTCAGCAAACTAGCTGTAAGAAATTCTTTGCTAGGAATTAGGGCTATAGTAATGAGTAAGCCTTTTCTTACATTTATTCACTCAGTGTTTGCTGAGTGTCTACCATGTGTCAGACTCTGTGCTAGTCTTAAGGGATACAACACTGAACAAAATAGACAAAGTTCTTACTCCAGTGGAGCTAACATCCCAGTGGAGGAAGACTAAAAAGATGCGTAAGTATGTTCTGTGTTGTGTGATGATTGTTGGGATGAAAAATAAGCAGGGTAAGGATAGAGTGTATCAGAATATGGGATGAGTCTTGCTGTTTTCTACAAATATCGTGTATGTCTTCTGCTGAAGTGGCTTTTGAACCATATTCTAAAGTAGTTTTCTGGGCAGAGATGAGAGCCAAGTGTGGAGTTCACAGGTCTGTTAGGCAAACTGTGGTGGTTAGGCTGTAAGTGTTGAGGTTCAGGGAAAGATGAGTGAGGGATCTTTCTCCCTCCTCAGGTGGGAAGATGGAGGTACAGGAGCAGCGTCCCTAGGAATGCCTGCAGCTCTGTGGGGTCTCTTCTGCAGTTCTGCCTGATAGTAGGATGCAGTGACAACACAGATAGAGTATCAGTTTATTATGCCTGGCTAGGGTGTAGTATCCATTTGTTAGGCCTGGCGTGGAAGGTCAGGAAAGCCCTTTCTAAGGATGTGATGTTTTATCTGGGATAAGAAGAATGAGTTCACTAGAAGGGTAATTGGGATGGCCTTAAGGAGCAGGAGCTCAGGAGAGGTTAAGATGGGAAACTAATTTAGGGAGTGGTCAGTGAATAGAGCCCATTTAAAATTCAAGTCAATGGAATCATCTAGGGAAAATATGTTGAATGGGGACAAAAGCGATTCTAGGATGCAGCTTTAGGAAATAATTGTCTTAAGGGGGCAGATGGGGATGGTGCGAAGCAGAGAGAGGCAAGAAGAGAAAGGAGAGAAAATAGCTTGGAAACTGAGGAAAAGGAGAGAGTTTTGAGAAAAAGAGTGGTCAGTAGTGGCAGATGCTAGAGAGTGGTCAGTTAGGTTGAACTGGGGGAAGGTAAGATTGTGCTAGACCTGAGATATCCATTAGGGTAGCCACTTATGGCTAATTTACATTTAAATTAATTAAATTAAATAAAAAATTCAGTTCCTCAGTCTCTCTAGCCACGTTTCAAGAACTTAATAGCCAAATGTAGGCAGCTATCCTATTGGACAGTGCAGATGTAGAATATTTCCTTCATTACAGAAAGTTCTATAGCACTGTACTAGACTATTATAATAATAGGTGAAAATTAAGTAAAATTTAATTTTTTTAAATTTATGATAGCACTAGAGAAAAATACTATAAGATAACTAACTATGCATTGTCAAAGAATTGGTATTAGGAAGTCAGAGTTAGGGAAAGATAACTTCAGCTTGGACTTTGGTAGCAGAATTAGTCATTTGAGTTGAGGGTTCAAGGAACTTTTGAGCTCTTGAACAGGGAAGAAAAAGAAAGTAGGGAGGAAACTGCAGGTCACTGGGAGCAAATCAGTTTTACTAGACAGAATTTAGATAAGTGGAGTTTGGGAGTTGCAAGGCTATCTCATAGGAGATCAAAACATTTCTGTGAAATGAATAATTGGGCCAAATTGCAGAAGATTTAAATATCAGGGTTAGGGGCTTATCTTGTAAAGAATGGATGCTATCAGACATTTTTAAGTGGAGGAGCAACATGGCCAAAATGATAGGGAATTAATTTGGTAAATTAATCCTTCCCTTCTCTGTCCTTTCTTAGTCTTGGTCAGTTGTTGTACAACTAAGTAATTCTGCCTTATGTCTATATACTGCTTTAAAAAAAATCTGCAAAGTACACTCATGTAAACTATTATTGAGCCTCAACAGTTCTGGAAAGTTGTAAGGTTTAATAATTATCTATTCACAGAGGAGAAATAAACCTCAGAGAAGTTAAATGAGTTGCTAATGATCAGGCTAGCTTGAAGAATGAATAATATTGGGTAGACTTGAGATAACTGATCTCAACGTCAAATAAATTACTTTATAATAGTGCAGCCTTCAATATATGGTGATCTTCTTGCTAGTAGGGACCATATCTTTATTTGTTTTGAATTCTAGTACCTAGCATAGTAAATGAGTGAGGTGAGATTGAATGCAGGGACATCTATTGAAAGGGAGATAGAAAAGTTACGAAAGGAGGCCATGTAGGTCTGGTGTAGATGGCATTAATGGGAACTGAAAGAAAGGACTGGACGTGAGATAGACATTGGGGTCTAAGTAAAAATCGTTAGAACTGAATAACTTGATCAGAAGTTGGGGGAAAAGAGAGTTTCAGATGATTTAAGGGTTTAAGTCTGAAAGACTGAGAGAAAGATGGTTCTATTGAAAGAACTGGGCAAATTGGTGCAGCTGCTAGTTTCTGAGGAAAGCTACTGAGCACTATTTTTGACATAAGGATGTTTTATAAAGCAAGCTCAGAGCCCTTCCTTTGATAACAAAATTTTAGAACCAGAAGTTAATTAGCAATTAATGTCTGAACATACAGGTAGCAATGTTTTAGAATGAAGTTTCAGAGATAGGCTAGGTCTGCAGAAGAAACTTGGAAGTTGTTTGAATAAATGTAATTAAATGAGCCTTGAGTAGGAATGGAATCTGCAGAAAAAGAGCAGGTAAAGAAAGAACAAATAGTTGAGGACTGAACGCTGGTTACAGCCACTTACTCACTGAATGGGAGGACAAAGTGGAGGCAAGAAAACGGGAGAAGGGACGCCGGAGCAGGGGAGTATTTTAGAAACCAAGGGAGAAGAGGGCTTGCTTAGTGGAAAGACTGGCAGAACTAAATTCATGCAGGGAGAATACGAACTGTGGAAAAGCCCCAGGACATTCCAGAGAGGACTACACAGGGTGGCAGATAGACTGTTATTTCCAGAAGCCTCAGGATTTTTTTTTTTAAAGGACTTAGTTTCCAGTATAAATGTACTATTGTACTTTTTTTTTTTTTTTGCTACTTCTTGAAAGGTTAAGGCGCCACTTGATTCATTTGATAAACTCTGAGTGCTCTCTAGATTCAGATTCAGGTATATGAGAGAAAACCACGCCTGAGAAGATTTGTTTTTTTTTTAGATCTTGCCATATTCAGAAGTTGCTGAAGTTCAAGAGACAGTGAGTAATACATGGTGCTATGTTTGAAATGTTAACATTTTTATGTTTTTTAAGGATTTCAAGTTGGATTCTTAAAATATATTTTTCACTGTATTTAATCATAGATGATTTTGTCACTATGAGAAGTAGCTAATGTAGATTGAAAAGATCAGTTTAAAAAATTGTTTCCTTTTTTCCAAAATGTAAATAGGTTAAATCTTTTTTGAATATAAAAATAATGCATACGAATGTGGCATATTTAAACAATATAGAAAAATATAATAAATAAAATCCTACCTTATAAAGGTAACCACTGTTAATATTTTGGTGGCGTCTTTCTTAAGTTTGTTCATATGTGTATATCTTACATGTGAAATTTTATGAAAGTGGAGTCATATACAAACTTTTTTATAACCTACTTTTTTTTTTTTTTTTAAAGATTTTTATTTTTTCCTTTTTCTTCCCAAAGCCCCCCGGTACATAGTTGTGTATTCTTCATTGTGGGTTCCTCCAGTTGTGGCATGTGGGACGCTGCCTCAGCGTGGTCTGACGAGCAGTGCCATGTCCGCGCCCAGGATTCGAACCGACGAAACACTGGGCCGCCTGCAGCGGAGCGCGCGAACTTAACCACTCAGCCACGGGGCCAGCCCCTTTTATAACCTACTTTTAAAAGTGAATATATAATAGATGTTTTTCAGTCAATGAAAAAAATGACTACATAGTATTTCATTGTGTGAATGTATTATTTGTTTAATACCCTGTTTCAAATAGGTTACTATTTTAGATTACTATAAATGATGATGTGATACCTATCTATGCACACGTCTTTTTGAACATGTTGGATGATCACCTTAGTATACACCCCACAGTGTTAACTAAGGTGATCATCCAATTCCTAGAAGTGGAATTGCCGGATCAAAAGCGTGATTAGGTTATTTTTAAATACCTGCCTGGGAGGCCAGATCATGTTCTCTAACAGTGATAGGCTCCAGTTCCTAGAAAAATATTCCCTTAAAATCTTTCTTGTAAAACTCAGGGATAAAATGTGCACGTGTGTGTTTTGCAGACAATTGCAGGAATATGAAAAATTCAGTTAAGTATGGAGTGATGACTCCTGTTGAAAGAACAAACAGATCTCAGCTGCATTATGTATCCCTCAGTGAAGTTTCTTACTCTAAGGGCCAAAGATAACACTAAGTAGAGCACTCAAGATGTTTTATATAATCCTGCTTCCCAACTGTGGCTTCTCACAGCCAGCTGCAGTGGGATTGCTTCTATGAGTACAACCTGATCAGTTTTATTGGGGGAAGAGGTGCCACCTGCTTGAAACTTTATTTTCAATTTGTGCTCATATCAGTGTTTGATAAGCTCTTTGTACTTTCACTTACGCTCAAAAGATGACTTAAGTCAAATCAGTATGTATGTCAAGTGGGAAGTGCTGTGCTGAAGGCAGTGGAATCAAGCTATAGATCGCAGGCATTGTTTTTGTGTTAGAGGGTGGCCATCTGTCCTGGAGTGCTCAGGACTGAGAGGTTTCCCAGGATGAAGGATGATGATGAACTTCTGCCTATTCTTCTATATTTCTTTCTTTCTTTTTCTTTTTTGTGAGCAAGATTGTCCCTGAGCTAACATCTGTGCCAGTCTTCCTCTATTTTGTATGTGGGACACCACCACGGCATGGCTTGATGAGCAGTGTGTAGCACCCGGGATCCAAACCTTCAAACCCCAGGGCACCGAAGCAGAGCATGTGAACTTAACCACTGTGCCACTGGGCTGGCCCCGTACATTAATTACGATGGTCTGGAAAATATTTAGAAGTAGACTAAAATAAAATCTCAGTTTTTGCATAATGCTCTTTTCTTGAGATTTTTAGACTAATATCAGTAAAGATTTAGATAGTGGTATATTTCATGCTTTTAATTAAAGTATGTTGAGTAGTATACTAATTAATAATAAAAAGGAAAATTCTAGACATGTTACTATTATTTTACCATTTTCAGCCCATACCTTTTGCTAAAATAGAGAATTGATCTATATGATAAAGAAATTATTGAGATGACTTTGTGGATGTTGTCTAAGGGATAATGGTAAACATGGTAAGTTACTCAAATAGAGAAAATGTTTCCCTCATATCTTAATGGTCTTTTGCTCTACAAGCTGAAGAGAAGTTCCTGGATTATTTGAGATTCTAGTAGTATTTTGGTTCTCTAACAAAACCAAGAAGAGTGGCTAGCTTTTTTTTTTTTTAAAAAGATCTTTCTAGATACTTGTGTAGAGTGTTTCTACATCAGTAATTTCACATTGTCTTTCTTCATGTGTTACACACCATGGAACTACACAAATTAGACAAGGTCCTACAAGTAGTAAGAATAGGAAGTTAGTAGGGTGCAGTGTGGCCATGTGCAGAGGACTTCAGGGATGTAAGTTACTTGGTAAAATTAACATGTAATCTTCAAGTACTTGTGTCCCATTTCCCATTAGTATCACTTGCAAGCCACTCTGGGAGGATGATTTCACTTCCATCCCAATTTAATGCCTTTGTATCCACATCCTTCTGGGGAAGTTTTCTGATGCCATGCTTATTTTTCATTGTGTTTCTGCTTTTATTTGGAGTGTTTCAGCTTGATTCTTAGTTCTTTTGTTCCATCATAATATTTGTTTTCTAGTGCCTGTTTTATCCTGTGGCATTTTTCAATCTGTGATTAAGCCATTGAGGTGGTATACCCTAACTCTCACATATCATGATTTATACTATTTTCTTACCAGCCTGAACCTTTCCCTGTACAAGTCTGTCCAACTGCCTACTTGACATTTTGACTTGGATGTCTAACAGGCATTTCAAACTTCAGCTGTCCCAAACTGAGCTGCTTATATTTCTCCCTGTAAACTAGCTCCTGTCTTTGCCATCTCAGAGAATAGCAGTTCCATCCTTCCAGGTGCTCAGACTCCAGCATTTGACATCATTTTGATTCCTCTTTTTTTCTTTTGCCTCATACTCGGTCTATTTGAATATCCTGTTCACTCTACCTTCAAAGTTTTTCAGAGCTTGACTACTTCTCATCACCTTCCCTGCTACCACCTTGGTCCAAGTCTCCTTCATCTCTCCTCTGGATTATTGCAGTAACCTCCTCACTGATCATACCCTTGTCCCTCTAGTCTCTTTTCAACATGGCAGCCAGAGGTATCTATTAAAACATAATCAAATCATGTCACTCCTTTTCTTGAACCATCCAGTGGCTTCCTATCTCATTCAAATAAAACCAAAGTCCTTTACAGGGCTACGCCCTATAAAGTCTGATATAGTCTGGCACCACATGTACGTCTTTGACTTTGTCTCCTCCTACTCTCCTACTTGCTTGCTATGTTCCAGCTCTCTGGCCTTGTTACTGTTCCCCAAACACTCCAGGCCTGCTGCCATCCCAACCCTCCACTCTTCACTTGCTCCTCCTTCTGCCTGGAAGACTCTTGCCCTGTATGTCCTTATGGGAGGTTCCCTCATTTTATTCAGTCAGCTTTCTTAGGCCACCCTGTCTAAAAACTTACCTCCCTCTTCCCTAACATTTTACATATCCCCATTCTCTGCTTATTTTTCCTTAGTATTTATGCTATATAATGTACGATGAATTTTTGGTTGTATATTATGTTATTGTTCATCTCCCCCCTAGAACATAACTAGCACAAGGGCAAGATTTTTGTCTACCTTGTTCACTGCTGTGTCCCTCAGTGCCTAAAATGACACCTGTCTATATAGTAGTTACTCAGTAAATATTTGTTGGATGGATAGAAGGATGATGGATCAATGATAGGAATAGACAGATAGCAATTATTTTGATTATTCTTCAGTGCCTCATTCTGAAAAAATAGGATTAATCCAGTAAAATCAGATTTATATGACACAAACATGTGAAGATATAAAGTTGAGAGCATAATTTGGAACAAATATTCAGAAGTTGCTGTGTGTGCTAGAAATTATTTTCTAGGAATAAACAGTCAAGGAGTACAGCTGTGCAGAAGTTGACATAATGCTGTTAATCAACAAAATTTGAGAATATAACCAAACTTCACGGTGACAGTGAACATAGTCTTTTACTCTAAATAGAAGACCAACTCAAAAACCTTCACATATGATTGCCCTGTGAAATGAAATATTCCCAACCATGCATAGACACTTAGAACCATTGCTGTCCTTTAGGAAGTTACTACTAAATTTAGGGAAGCTAGTAATTATTCATATCAATATAGGAAGATTTTTTTAGAAGATGTCAATGAAGCATTTGCAAAGTTTGCCACAGTTGCCTCTGTCATTTTCCTAACTTCTTTCAGTTTTCCATTATTATCGTAGTTATTTATTGGTGTGTACTCATTCCCAAATTAAGTGGTGTAAAACAACAAGCGTTTGTTATTTTGTAATTCCTGTGGGTCAGGAATCCAAGAGCAGCTTTGCCGGATGTCTCTGGCTCAAAGTCTCTCATATGGTGGCAGTCAGGCTACTGGGGCGGAAGGCAGCTTCATCTCATCTGAAAACGGGACTGGGTGGATTGGGTGGGGTGGGTGAATGTGGAACATCCACTTCCAGGTCACCTAGTGTTTGTGGGCTGACGTCACTTCTTTCACCTGTTGGACCTCTCTACAAAGCTGCCTTGTGACGTGGCAGCTGGCTTTCTCCAGGGTGATGTATCTAAGAGAGAGTGAGAGATGGCAAATAAGATGCAAGTCATAGTCTTTTTGCAATCTAATCTCCAACATGACATCCTATCTTTCTGCCTTATTCTCTTCGTTAGAAGTGGTTCAACAAGTGCAGGATACACTCAAAGAGAGGGGATCACTGAGACCGTTTTAGAGATTGCCTACCACATGCTTTTATCTCTTCCCACATGCTTGCTAGTTGTGATGACATGGCCATCAGTAATAAGGACTTGACCACAATTAGTTAATTGTCACCAAAGTTGTATTTTTTTAGTTTATCTGTGAAACTGAAATCAGTTTATAAATGAATGAGCTTAAATGGGGAACTACAGAAAAATGAATACAGCCGGGCATTGCTTTATGATGGGGATGCATCCTGAGAAATGTGTTATTAGCCGATTTTGTCATTGTGCATACAGCATAGAGTGTACTGAAGGGGAACAAAATTTGCCACCTCAAAATATGTCTCTTTAACATGAGGATTATTTTATAGGCTGATCATTTTTAAGAAACAAAAGACTCAAGTTTTTCTCATTACCTCCCCTTAACTGCCTAAAAGAGTTCAGATAAAAAACCTGTCTCAGGAAACGAGCTATCACCTTGGCATAACATGAACTAGGGGGTAGACAGGGAGGAACCTAGAAAAGCCCATTTGTTGGGCTCTCCTCTGTGTTCTTCTGTTTCTGTGTGGCCAAACACTTGTTTTCCAAACGTTTGCTTCTTTTCCTACCTGTGAATTGCCTTCCTTCCCTTTGAAGTCTCTGACTCTCCCCACCCCCAACATCTTCTTTTGTCTTTAACTAAGGATGATATTTAAGGTGAGGGCTTTGGGCATTTTGGTGAGTTCCTTGGTTTTCTTGGATTTCTCCCATGTATACTTGTTATTAAACTTTTTGTTTTTCCACCTGTTATGCTGTCTCATGTCAATTTAATTCTTAGGCCAGCCAGAAGAACCTAGAAGGGGAGAGGAAAATTTCTCCCTCCCCTACAGTACTTACACAAACCTAGATAGTATAGGCTACTACACACCTAGGCTAGATGGTACTAACATTATGGGTCTGCCATTGTATATGCAGTTCATTGTTGATTGAGACGTCATTGTATGGCACGTGACTGTAGAGCAAATGCCTCCAAAGGCACTAGAACATAATTTCAAGCACTGTGAAATAGCCATCACTTTAGGGAAGTAACAGGGCCAAGATTTTTTCCAAAGAGACAACAGAAGCACAAAACAAACAACTGCTACCTTTTTTTTTTTCTCTCACAGCCAATTAAGATTCCCTCATTCCCTGTAGATACGACCAAATAATAATGTAATCAGTGTGAATTTTCTGTTTTTGTTGTTACTTTAGTTTTGGTATGTTACCATACTTGGTATTTGAAATGAAGGAGAGCTGAGGACTCTGTTCCTACCAAGGGACACCAAACCACTTGTCCATAGGTGACATTTAGTGTAATGTATGTTAAAATAGTTACTAGACAAAAGGTCAGCAGTCTAGCTGACTGCAAGTTATTCATTTGAGAATTGGGTCTTCTGACTTCCTAAAGACCAGTAGCTCCAGAGGATGTGTTTGATATTTCGTGGGTCCTAAGAAAATGTGGTCTGACTTAATAAAATTTATCTTTCTAATCAATATTCCTCTTTGATTTTTTGCCATTTGAGAGAAAAGTTCTACTTTGTTATGTCTTTCTTAAAACTCTTTGCACAGTGCTTGGCGTATAATAAGCACTCAGTAAATGTTCCTTTCTTTTTTTCTGTGTAGTGGTAACTGCTTTCATGGCATGCAGAACTAATATTTAATAGTGCATGAGTGTTATATATTTTTAAACCACTTAAATTTAAAGAATGAATAACTTTGGGGCTGTCCCTTACTTTTTACCGCTCCTAACCCATATCTTGAATTATAATTGAAAGTAATTTTTGGCTTGAATAATTTTCAAAAAAATACTTGGGTGATTTCATTTTTCTCTTTCCTCCTTCATTTTCCAAAATTAAAACTAATATTTGATAATGCGTAAGCCACGATCTTTTTATGTGTGGAAAAGGAAATTCCTTGTGAATTATGATTATTAAGATTGACATGCATGTGCTTTCTACTTAGAAACTAACGCTCTTTTCCTTGTCCTTTTGTTTCACTGCTGCTTCAATCCTGGTGCATTGTGCTTCTTCCTGGTGTGGATTGTATTTATGTGCTGCTCAATTACCCTGCACTAAAAGCTTCTTGGGGATAGCAAAGATGTCCTTGGGCCATCAAGTAAGTAGCTAAAGTTGGAATGGCGTGTCTGGGGACATGATAATATTTTGATTTGTACTTACTAAAGGTAAATGGTATTTCTGTTTTTCTTTTTTTCTAATTGGATAAATTTGACATGTAACGTTGTGTAAATTTAAGGTGTCCAGCAAGTTACTTTGATACCTTTGTCTATTGTGATATGGTTGCCATTGTAATGAGTTTTATCATATTACATACATATAGTATAATATTGTTGTCTGTATTCAGTATACTGTATATTAGATCTCTGTGGCTTATTTATTCCTTGTTACAAGTTTGTACCCTTAAACGCCATCAGTCTTATCCCCCCAGCTCCCAGCAACCACCATTGTACTCTTTCTTCATTTTAACAGGTTTGACTTTGTAGATTCCACATATAAATGATATCATATAGTACTTGTCTTTCTCTGTCTGAGTTATCTTGCTTAGCATAATGTGCTCAAGGTCCATCTGTGTTGTCACAGATGGCAGGATATCCCTCTTTCTCATGGCTGAATAATATTCCATTGTGGTATTTCTGTTTTCATTATTAAGTCTTTAACTTTTCTTTCCAAGCATTGAAATACAAAGTAGAGATAAAAATGGTCATTCACTGCCTGTCTGTTTCGGTGTCCATCTGAGATTGATAGACAGTGTTTGTATATTTACGTCTTGATTATCTAAAGATGGATTATTTACTTAGCCCATTATGTGATTCATCATTTAGGATGTCTTCTTCATAGTACCCTTTCTATAATCATCACAAAGCATAAATCAGACTACTTTGAGGCTGGACATGATACACGAAACTCACTGCCATATGAATATGAGAGATACTGTTTTATTTTATCAGGATTTTTACGTGATAGATAATTATGAAAAAAATTTTATTTATACTTTGGGAATTACATGAGTGAAACATGTTTCATCTTAGAGACTTGGAAGATGTACTCATTAAAGTTAGTTCCAACAAGATTTTTTTTGACCAGACACTGTGCTAGCTTTGGGGGATGCATGATGAACAAACATGTGCCCTACCCCTAAAGATCATTAGAGTCTAGTTGGGAAGTTAGGCCCATGAATAGATAGTTTCAAATCATTGTGACAGGGGCAATTTTTGTATTAAAAATAATAGAATTATTGAGGTGAAGGGAAATTCAGAGATCATGTAATAAAGCATTATTATTATTGTTTATTTGGTGAGGAAAATTGCCTTGAGCTAACATCTGTGCCAATCTTCCTGTACTTTGTGTGTGGAATGCTGCCACAGCATGGCTTGACCAGCAGTGTGTAGGTCCGTGTCCAGGGTCCGAACCTGCAAACCCCAGGCTGCCAGAGCGGAGTGCACAAACTCGACCACCACGCCACCAGGCCAGCCCCAGAGCATTAATTTCATAGATGAAAAGGGTGAACCTAAGAACTGAAATACCCAAGGAGGTAGAATTGGTTACTAGGCAGTGTTTCTTCTACTGATTTTCAAAAACCAGAGTGAAAATATCAGTTTGCTGAATTCAAGTCTAACCAAATAGTTAAATTTTACTACATCATAAATCGGACAAAGATTTTAACTTTATTGAAGAGCAATGTGGAAATTATATTGATTTAGGAAGTTTTAATGTCTGTTCCTAAATAGTTATTGATTGTTGTCAGTTCACCACTTTGGGGCTCATGTTTTCATTGGCTAAAGGAGGAGAATAAGTAAGATAATGGCAAGGTTTCTTCTAGTTGTGGAATTCTTTAGTCTAGATCACTTGCTGTTTGTTTCTAATGCTGGTTATAGTTAACGTATGTAAAAAGGGAGATGATTTAAAGTAATACGCTCAAATTCCTTTTTTTATTCTTAGTTGCAGCATTTCATAAAATTTTAAATGTATTGTTTATTATACAGCCAGTATTATTAGAATGTAGAAACTTTAAAAGTAGAAAAAAGTATATAAATCCCAAAACATTTTTATGTTTTCTTGTTTAGCCCTACTTGTGATACCTGGCAGATATTTTCAGTTACTTTAATTACCTCATACATTTAAATGTTGGCTCAGGTGAACTGATTTGCACCGCTGAACTTTACAAATAGCATTGAAGTTTAAGTATCAATGGAAATGGTTCTGTTTTAGGAAGTGGGTTGTATAAATGGAGGTCTTTAATTTCTACTTGGAATAGGAAAAAATTATTGCAGTTATATATTTTAAGCATATATTAATAAAAATATGCAACATATGTTAGAGATGAGTTTATATTGTAGTTTGCCAACTATTAAAAGGCAGGAGCTGTATAATTGTTTACTGGAGACCATATATCTTTTAGAGTGAAAAGTAATTTCATATAATACTATATTAGGATCTGTACTATAGAATGAAAAAGCTACAGTGATGTATACCAACGTATTTAAATGCTTTGAGTATTTGAGAAAAGGTATACCATCTGTAAGGGGAGCCTTAGGATTTATATAGAAATTATTTCTGACTTTAATTAATTCATCTTATTTTAGCTTTCACTTAGATTAAGGGCAAACACCAGACTTTGAAGCTTGTAAAATTCTTCAGATTTTATATTGATGAGTTGAATTCAGAAAGTAAGGAATATATTTATCGAATCATATTCTTTTTAGAAGTTGTAGCTGGTATGTTAATTATATTACTATTAATTATTCTAGTGTGATTAGTTTCTACTGTACTTAAGAGAGTAAAGCAGTATGAATAGCAAAGGTTACTTTACTTCCACTACAAAGTAGAACCAGCAGAGGGCACTGTAATGCTATCTTTATTAGGTGAGGCAATTGATTGTAGTGTCAAAAACTGTACTGGAATCATGCAGTGATTCATTCCGCAATGATCTGTCCGGTCATTTAGCAAGTAGTTATTGAGTGTCAGTTTTATGCCAAGAGCTCCAGATAAAAACAGTCACTGCCCTTCTTGAGCTTATATCTGAATAGTCTACTATTGAACCACTGATGGAGGGCATCAACAGGATTTTTGTGTTTTGCAGATCCTCTCTTGTCTGTGTAGTTGTTAGTGTCTGAGAATGAGGTAAGAGAAAACAAATAGAAAAATGGGCTTTCTGTTTTTTTCTAAAGAAGTGCACTCTGTATATTGCTGCTTCTACAAACTCTTTCAGTTCCAAATTATCAAAATCATAAACAGTATATACCTCAGTCAATAAAGGGTTAGAAACAGGTGAATAGAACTAAATTTACTCTTCTCAGATGCTTTTCCTTTTTATATAATGAAGTTATTCAAGACATAGATACCTGTGTCTTACTGATAGGATACTGAAGCATACTTGAATTCTATTAGTTGTTTTTCTCATAGTGTGTTTTAAATTAGCCTTAAATGTGCTGTCTGATACTACAAAAGAACATATGTAGCATATGTAGATTATAAAGCATAATCATACAGTGAGTGTGTGTTGAACCCACCACTCAACTTAAGGACTTGAATCTTCCAAATACCTCATGTCCATCCATGTACTGCTTCTCTCTTCTGTGCCTGCCCCCTAGAGGTGAAGACTAATTTGTATTTTTTGTTTATCATTCTTTGCTTTTTTAAAAATAGATTTGTTATCTTTTAATTATGTATGTATCACTATGTGTTGCTTGGTTTGTAATTTTATAAGAATAGTATCATGCTGTATGTCATCTTCCAGGACTTGCTCTTCATAGTTAACATTTTATTTCTAAGATTCAGCCACGTTGTTGAGATAGACATGGAACATTCCTTTTCAGTGCTATATACTATTCCATTATATGCATATACCACAATATATTAATCTCTTTTATTTTCAATTGATGAATATTCAAGTTGTTTTGAATTTTGCTATTATGAACAGTGTTGCTATGAACATTCTTATTCTTGCCCCTTGGTATGCACATGTAGGAATATTTCTAGGTATAAATCTAAGAATGGAATAGTTGGACACATAGGGTATGCTGGAATTCAATTATACCAGACAGTTCTAAATTGTTTTCCAAAGCACTTGCATCAGTTTATCCTCCACCAGCAGTGCTTAAGATGTGTTGTTGATCCCATCCTTGTCGGTATTTGGTATTATCAGACTAATCAATTTTTCTCAGTTTTACTGAGTATAAAATATCTATTTCACTGTGATCTTGATTTTTATTTTCCTGATTACTCAAAAAGATGAACATCTTTTTGTATATTTTTTGGCCATTTGCATTTCTTCTTCTGTGAAATCACTGTCCAAGTTTTCCCCCCATTTTTCTATAGCATTGTTGGTCCTTTTCTAATTGATTTGTGGGAGTTTTTTTTTTTTTAACAAGCGTATTCTGGATACCAACCCTTTGTTAATTGTATGTGTTGTAAATATCTCCTCTTGGTGGTTTTTTTTTTTCCCCAGGAAGATTGGCCCTGAGCTGACATCTGTGCCAATCTGCCTCTATTTTATGTGGGATGCCACCACAGGGTGGCTTGACAAGCGGTGCTAGGTCTGCACCCAGCATCTGAACCCACGAACTCTGGGCCACTGAAGCAGAGCATGTGAACTTAACCACTACGCCACTGGGCTGGTCCCATATCTCCTCTTGTTTTGTGTTTTGTTTTTTGAATTTTGTATTGTATCTTTTGATTAAATGAATTTGTAACTTCAATATAGTAGAACTTGTCAATTTTTTCTTTTTTGGTTAGTGCTTTGTGGTGTCTTTTTAAAGGAATCATTAGTTTGTAGTGATATTCTCTTATATTTTTTTCCTAAGAGTTTTCAAATTTCAGGCTTCCAGCTTTTTACATTTATGTCTTTAATTTTCATAAAACTGTTCTTTGTGTGTGATATGAGGGTAGGGATCTATTTTCCAACATGGAGAACCAGTTGTCCTAATATCATTAATTCAATAGTCTTTCTTTTTCCTGCTTCTGTTGTGTATCTAGCCTCCACATATGCATGGGTTTGTTTCTGAAAGCTCTCTGTTATGCTCTGTAGGTCAATTTCTCTCTCTCTACATTAGTACCATACATTTTTAATTTCAATAATAATTTTTAGGAATTAAATGGATCTTGGATTTAGTAATCAAAGGAGCCACCATATGCTTTATAATAATGAAGTTTCATAAAAATATAAAATGTGTCGATTGATTTATTCAGTCAAATTCTATTGAACAACTTCAGTATGCCAGGAACCATACCAGGACTTGAGGATTTGCGGGAAAATAAGGCAGACAAAACTCCTTTCTCTTGTGGTATTTACAGTCTGGTGGAAAAGGCAGACACTGAACTGTAGGGGAGGAAGACATTTCCTCTACCTGCTCTGGGTCCTTCTGGCTGGAGAACAAATTAAATTCACATGAGACAGAATAACAGGAGAAAATTAAACAAAGCTTTATGACTTGTATACATGGGAGAGGCTCAGGCAAACTGAGCAACTCGCCAAAATGGCGGAAGTTCTTCCCTTAAATACCACCCTCAGGTAAAGTCAAAGGAGGATGTTGGGGATGGAGGTAGTTGATCATGGGAGGTTACCAAAAAGTACAGTAGAAGAGGATAGGGTTATTATGCAGATTTAAGTCCTTGCCTTCTGCATTAAGTTTCTAGACATAAGGTCATCACCCCTTCTTTCTAGTACAGAGAGGGAGACAGCTTTACAGATGGAGATTTCCCTTACAAATGTAAATATCTCTTGACAAAGGGTAAGTAAATTCTACTTTTCAGAGTTTCTTTCCTGTCTGCAGTTTTTAAAAGTAACCAGCCCCAAAATAATCCTCATGCCAAAGAGACATATCTTGGGGTGGCCAATTCCAGTCCCTCACAAAACAAATGATAGAATTTCAGATAGCGATAAGAGCTACAATGAAAATCAGGTAGGATATAGTGATAGAGTATAACTGTGAAGGAGAGGGCAAAAATAAAAAAGAATTGATACATTGTACTATATTAAATGAAGAACTTATTTATCACAAGGCACCACAAAGGACTTTTCTGAAGAGAAGACGTTTGAACACAGACAACAAGTGATTAGAGGGGTCACCCATCAAAGATCTAGGCTAGGAGTGTTCTAGGTAGAGGCAATAAGAGATGTAAAGGCCCAGAGACTGAGGCAAGATGGCGTGTTTTGAGGAATACCAGAAGGCCATTTCGGCAGGAGCCAAGTGAATAAAGAGGAGAGTGTTAGAGAATGAGGCTGGAAAGATAAGCAGGGGCCAGCCACAGTTGAATCTTCAGGCTGTGGATTTTATTGTAAGGATAATGGAAAGCTATTGACATATTTCTGTGGGTGCAGATCTGATTTATGATTTACAAAGATTGCTCAGGCTTCTGCCTACAGAATGAACTCTACACAAGTAAGGAGCAAGGTGGCAAGTCTGGAGACTAGATAGAAATCTGCCGCTCTGACCCAGTGGAAAGGTAATGGTGGCTTGAACAGGGTGGTCGTTGTGGAAGTGGGGAGAAGGAGAAGGATTCGAGATAACTTCTGAAGGTAGATTCTGAAGCTCTCACAGATGAATTGGATGTGAAGTGTGAAGGAAAGAGAAAAGTTGAAGAATATGTCTAAGGTATTTGGCCTGAGAAAGTTGTCGAGGGGAATAGTGATTCCACTAACTGAGATGGGGAGAGGTGGGTTTGGAGGATAGGCAGAGTCAAGAATTTTGTTCTGGATAAATTTGAGATGCTTGTTAGAATATAGAGGGGATTATAAGGCAGGCAATTGGATATGTGAGTTTGAGTTCAGAAGGAGATAGAAATTTAGGAGTCATCAGCGTATAGATTCTGTTTTTATGGACTTGATGGGAAAATAAATTTTTTATATTTTGGATGATAAGTGAAAGTGTGTTTGAATTTTTACTTTGAAATTTAAGGAACTAAAACATAATTTTGAAAACTTGAGCACAATAGAAAACATGTTAAAGCAATTTGATTTAAAAGATATGGTGATAAAAATGTGAACGTGAAGTTCTGGTTAAGTTAAAAATTAAGTCTAGAGTGAAGACAGAATCATTCTCTCTCATGATAAAACTGAAGTTTTTGTACACTGAAAGCACAAAAACATAAAATGAGAGAATGAGGAGATCCTAGGGCACATGGACTTGCTCACGATTTTCCCTATTCCTTCATTGAGTATTTTTCTCTTTTCTGTCCTCTCTAGAACTAGCATTGCTTTCCTCTATTAGTAGCTTGACCAAATGTGTGAATATTGGCCTTAAACACTATTTAAATTGATTATTGGGGTGGCAGGCTTTTAAGAGACCAGACCTTGGAACCAAATGGTCCTGAGCTAGAATCTTACCTCTATTACATAGTCTTAGGCAAAGCAATCACTGAACCTCAAGTTTCCCCATCTCTAAAAGAGGAATCATACCTACTTCCCATGAAAATTAGAAATCGGAGTAGAAATTCTAGTGAATGTAAAACAGTATTTTAAACTGCTACTAATTTTGGTTTTTTGTGTGTTTATTGACCATTTGTATTTCTTCTGTGAAATTACTTTGTTTTTTGCTTGTTGTTCTATTGACAAATATAAAGAGTTAACAGCATAGCAAAGCTTGGCGTACTTTTCATTATCAGTTGAATATGTGTTTTCATTTTTATAATGTCTATAATTTGTATAATTTTACTCATGCATACCTGTTAATTCCTCTTAGATTGATAGCAAACTAAAATTAAAAGAAAACCAAACAATTATGCAAATTTATGAAAGTATTGAGTTGGTAAAATGAATGTAATCATTGGGGCCATTTCAGTCATAATCCTTTTCCATGTTATTAACTATGCCGTTATGGAAATCTGTGATGCAAGTACTAATTCTTTTTCCCCTTTTTCCTTGAGCTGTGGTAGCAAACAGTGACGAATCTCAGCTTCTGACACCAGGAAAGATGAGTCAGCGCCAAGGGAAAGAAGCGTACCCAGTGCCAACCAGAGATTCGTATCAGCCATCTTTCAGTCCTGCAAGTCCTCACAGCCAAGGTAGGAAGTTGTGTTTTTCATGTATTGTTGTTGTTGTTGCGGTGGTTGTTTTTTGAGGAAGATTAACCCTGAGCTAACATCTGCCAATCCTCCTCTTTTTGCTGAGGAAGACTGGCCCTGAGCTAACATCCATGCCCATCTTCCTCTACTTTATATGTGGGACGCCTACCACAGCGTGGTCTGCCAAGCAGTGCCATGTCTGCACCCGGGATCCCAATCGGCGAACCCTGGGCCGCCGAAGAACATGCAGACGTAACCACTGCCACCGGGCTGGCCCCAGTTGTTGTTTTTAAGCGGAGAATAGCATTTGGGTCTGTCATAACTTTTTTCTTTCTAGTTATTTGGTTCTGTAGGGGTTTTTGTTTGTTTTATTTTGGTCATCCATAGTTCTTCTCTTAGAATGAGTACATTTTCCTTTAGACTCCTTTTAGTCCTCTTATATACTCCAACATTCTTGGTTAGTTATACCATGCTTCTAATTCAGTGATTATCAACCTTTTCGATTAGGACTACTTTACACTGGTAAAAACTTTTAAAGACCCAAAGAGCTTTTGTTTAAGTGGGTTAACCTATTGATATTTACTGTATTTTAAATTAAAACAACATTTAAAAATGTTTATTATCCGTTTAAAATAAGAATAATAAACCCATTATACTTTAATGTGAATAACATATTTTTATGAAAAATAACTGTGTTTCTTTCCCCCCCTTCCCCCAAAAATTGGGTGAGAAGAGTGCTTTGGTTTCCCACAGGGTCTCTCCACCTTGGCACTCTTACCTTCTTGGGCTGGATCATTCTTTGTCGTTGGGGCTGTCCTGTGCGTTGTGGGATGTTCAGCAGCATCCCTGGCCTCTATCTGCTACATGCCAGTAGCACTTTTCCCAGGTGTGACAACCAGCAATATCGGTAGACGTTGCCAAATGTCCTTTGAGGGACAAAGTCATCTTTGGTTGAGAAGTACTATTTTACAGTTTTTGCAAATCTCTTTAATGTCTAACTTTAAAAAAGACACTTGGATTTTCGTATCTGCTTCTGCAATCAATCTGTTGTGATATAATGATTTGATTGAAATATATGAATAAAATCTGGCCTCACACACATATCTAGTCAGAAAAGGGAGTTTACATGAATAGCTTTTCTATGTAATTGTGGATATTCTTCTTTGATACTACACCAAAACTTGACAAGTGGTAGTTTCTTAAATGCTGCTTGTAATATGGAATCTGAAACTGTATCTAAGCTTTTCTTACTCCATTAAATTAGAATCCATTGATCTATCTTGAATTTGAATGACTCTTTACTCATGCATGATTTTAAAACATCATGCATTAGTCATTTGGAAAATAGTTGCTGACTGTATTCCGATCTACCAAATGCTGACATATTTTAAATATAATACAAAGAAGTGCTTTGTGTATACTTCTCATTTTGTCACACAGAATATTCAAACCAGGTGTACTCAAGGTTTAAGATTAATTTTTATGCCTTGTGAAGGACATTTGTAAGTGAAACTGGCCTCCTTTTACTGCAAGGGCATGGCGTGGCAGTGAAGAATTCAGTGAATTGGTGCCTCTGCCTTGATTTGTGCTAAGGTGCCAGCAGTTTTACGTAACATTGCTTTTGCGCCATCAGTGAAAATGTCAACACAATGAAAAGTCTTATGAAACTAGTTTTGACTTTGCAGACCCTCTAAGGGAGTCTTGGGGACTCCCAGGGATCACGGATCTCATTTCCTAACTCTTATTAGATTCTGCTTCTTAGCTAAAGTTTATTTAGTCGAATCTTTGAACTCTCCTGCGGTGCTACTGATAGCTGTGGTAGAAAGACTTATGCTTTTAAAACTGAGAACTTAAATTTGGTCTTTGAAAGCTAATATACACTTAAATTATCAAGTATTTTTAAAAATTAAATTGTTAGATTTTGGTATTGCTACTGTTGAATTATCCTTTCTAATTAGGCTTTAGTTACTTCTTTTTAAAAGAGTATTAACTGGTAAATAGTAAGTAAAGTTCACTTTATTTCAGTGGAAAATGTTTTTCTAGTCAAGTGATAGATGGAAACATTTTTACCTAGCATTACTGGAACTGGAAAAACTTTATATAACAAGATAGAAATAATTACTGTTAACACTTATTGCTTAGTTGTTGAATAGACTTTTGGAAAGTTAGCATTTTTCTTGTCAAAATGCTTTTTTTTTTTTTTAATTAAATTTTTTCTTTTCTTTTTTTTTTTTTTATTTTATTTTTTCCTTTTTCTCCCCAAAGCCCCCCGGTACATAGTTGTGTATTCTTCGTTGTGGGTTCTTCTAGTTGTGGCATGTGGGACGCTGCCTCAGCGTGGTCTGATGAGCAGTGCCATGTCCGCTCCCAGGATTCGAACCGACGAAACACTGGGCCGCCTGCAGCGGAGCGCGCGAACTTAACCACTCGGCCACGGGGCCAGCCCCTCAAAATGCTTTTTTGAGGCCTGAAAGTGGATATATGGTACACAGTAGTGTAAATAAGCTTCATTAATATAAAATCTGAAAGGGTGCAGCTTATGGGTTTTTTTTTTTTTAATGTGCAACAGAATTTTGACCGTAATAGATATGGTTCATCTGATTCATGTATCTGTGTATTATAACATCTAGAGGAATTCTTTTTTTTTTTTTTCTTTGAGGAAGATTAGTCCTGAGCTAACTACTGCCAATCCTCCTCTTTTTGCTGAGGAATACCGGCCCTGAGCTAACATCCATGCACATCTTAGAGGAATTCTTTAACTTGCAAGTTGATGCAACAAAAGGGTTAGGTACAATAATTAAAACTACCTTCATTTATATCTATCAAGAACATTTTCAGGCAAACAGGGAACCTGAGAGAATAGTACAATGAACACTAATATTCCCATCGTGTAGATTTAAGAAATTATTAACTTTTCGTTGTGTTTGTTTCATTTTATTTAGAGATGGGGCTGGAATATTTAGAGCAAATTATAGACCTCATGATATTGTACCCCAGAATACTTAATGCATCTCTAAAAATTAAGAACATTTTCTTGTATAACCATAAAACCTTTATTACCTCTGACAAAAATTAATGATAGTTACTTACTATAACCTAACATCTAGTCCATATTCAAATTTCCCCAGTTGTCCCCACGTCTTTTTACAGTAGGCTTGTTGAAACCAGGATCCAAGTAATGTTCATACATTGTATTTGGTTGTTATGTTATTGTATCTCCTTTAATCCTGAAGAGTCTCCTTGTTTACTTTTATTTTCTGTTGTGCCTTTGACTTTAAGAAACTGGGTCTGGAGGCGGGCCTGGTGGCATGGCGGTTAAGTGCGCACCTTCCACTTTGGTGCCCGGGGTTCCCTGGTTCGGATCCTAGGTGTGGACATGGCACCTCTTGGCATGCCGTGCTGTGGTAGGCGTCCCACGTATAAAGTAGAGGAAGATGGGCATGGATGTTAGCTCAGGGCCCGTCCTCCTCAGCAAAAAGAGGAGGATTGGCAGCAGTTAGCTCAGGGCTAATCTTCCTCAAAAAAACAAAAAAGAAAGAAAGAAGAAGAAACTGGGTCAGTGTCCCTAAAGAGTGTTTGACCTTTTGGATTTGTTTGATTGCCTCTTTGCAGTATTGTTTAATTTGTTCCTCTGTCGTCTATATTTCTGTCAACTAGAAGTGAAATACAAAGGCTTGATTGTGTTCAAGTTGAACATTTTGGAAGATTGTTTTGTAGGGTGTGTGTACTACTTCATGCTGCATCACATGAGAATCAGTTAGATCTGATTGTCCCACAGTTAGGGATGTGAAGCTGATCAATAGGTTCAGGTGGTGACACCTAATTGAAAGTTGCATCTTTTCTCCTCTTATGACCTGAAAGTAAAATAGATGAAGTTGGCACCCATCAACTTTTCACTTACAAATGTAAGTACCCTTTGATGATCATTGAATCAGTTACAGTAGGGGTTGAAAAGTGGTGATTTTCTACTTGTCATTATTTTTACATGTGTTACCGAAGTTTTTCTGTAAAGAAGAGATCTTAATTGTCTTAGGGCTACTTAGTAAACGTTGAAATATAGTTCCCACAGGAAGACAGGATAAGCGGTTATTTCCTCCTAAGTACCAGTTTTTAGATTAATTATTTTGGCCTTTAAAATTTTTTTTACATCATAAAGAACTCATCTATTTTATTATACTCATTATGTTTGAATCATTGGTGAAATGAAGATAATAATAGTATCTACCACATTGACTTTTATAAGGCTTAAAATGAGTTAATACATATAAAAAGCTTAGAACTTAGATAACCACTCATGATAGCTGATTAATAATACTAACAATAATTATTGTCATTACTATTATTATTATTATTTTAAGTAAATGATTCTATTTAGGTTGGAAGCTGATATTTCAGTCTTTGCTGTACTTCAGCATCTTATAGAGGCTCATTTAGAAATTCTTTTAGTGTAGATGGCCCATGTATAATTTTTTATTTTTTAGTTATTTTTATTATTTTTTAATTTTTGCATTTAAAGCAGCCACAGTGTTATATGTTGATTTGCACCTGAATGTTCCTGGGTGGGTTATGGCTAAATTAATATTTATAGAGTGACTTACATATTGAAGTCAACCTATTGGCTTTTCATAATGCAAAACATCTCCCTCTGGTTTACCTACTGAAATTTCCTATCATAGTTTTCAGAAGTTTCTTTGAAATAATATATCCAGTAACTCTTGGTTATGGTGAAGATAAACTGCTGGAGGAGATAAACAAATGTCTAGAAAACCTCTTTGATCTGTCTACCATGTGTCAAGTATTCTTGGTCAGTGTTTCAACTTCTGAATGGAAAGAATTAAGAGTTCCAAAAACTTATTGATAGTGATAATGACTAACATTAAAGCTCCTCATGTCTCTGAGTGCTTTTTCAGGCATTAGCTCCTGGAATTCTTATAAGAACTTTATGATATATAAATGATCCTCTCTATTTCACAAACAAGGAAACTTAGCAGTTGGTAAGA